GCACAGACTTGTACCTGCTATTCCTTACACTGCAATGGCATCTGGGCTAAGCCGAGGACCCAACATACGACCATATTGAGTTGGTGATACTTGTTAGTCAGTTCCACCTTTTGTGCCTTGGAGGATTTGATGGTTGAACCCCGTTGCATGTTCCTTTAACCAGCACTCTCAGGCCTTTGGCTTACCCAGGTGTCCGTGTGGCTGGCATGTGGCATTCAGACCGTACGAACTCTATTATCTCTATATAATATCCCGAGTGTGTATGAATGTGTGTGGGTGTGTTTTGTTTTTTAGGACAGGGAGTCAAGGGGGGGTGAAGGAAGGGATGATTGTATAAGGCATGCCAAGGTGGTCAGAAATTTGCACTGCTGGGAAGAGAAAGAATGTGTTTGGATGTTGCAAGCATCACGAGTTCTTAGTGAACTGTATGGAGACAGACGGAGACAGTTCCACAATGTGGCACAAGCCCACGAACATCCCTTTCGAGTCTTCAGAACATGTCAACTCTAATTTTTTTGAGTCTCAGCCTACCCACTCGTGGTGGATCACCGTTAACATCCAACCTTCCTGTGAAATTGGTTTCCTCAAATCCACTGAGGGGCTGAAACTCACCTTGCCGGTGCCAGACCCCAGGCAGGTGCTGACGCTCCGGGAGGCCCAGCTGGGCGATGGCGGCGTCGGAGCCCTCGCCGAGGCCGGGGGGTCTTCGGCGGAGACCGGGGCCAGGCCTTGATGCTTGGTAACTGATGTTGGAAAGTTGGAAAGTTCGGAGAATCTCGGTTCGTGAGAGAAGTCATGTTCATTCCATGTTCATTTCAGTTGAAGAGCCGCATAAATAGAAAAGCACATGCCATATATGTCCATGTATAGAGCACATGAGTTCTCAACCTCTTTTGGCTCCATGTCATTCCCCCAAAAATAGTTCCGATGCTACAGCCTGTCGAAGGTCTTTCGGAACACTCCGACAGCTTTGGGACGCACTGGAAGCGACTTGAAGTTGCCGAGTTTGACCGATGAGATTGTTTCAGGAAGTCGTGAGTGAACGTGGTTCATGAAATCATGTCTAGTCGCTGACCACTCAATACTACTCATTGACTCGTACTCATTCATTTGGTTTCCTTTTCTGTTTGCTTGAAGGGTTCGCCTTGTTTTTCTTCAGCTCACCTAGGCACCCAACACCTCCCAAGACCCCATAAGACCCCACTGGTTGGCGCTGGGCATTCCCCTCAAGGCCTTGGAGGAGAACATGGCCTTGAGGGAGTTGGACCTGGCCGGCAACGAGGCAACGCCGCCAGAGTTGGAGGGGGGGACCGGATGTTCCTGAGTCCGAAGCCGACCAAAAGAGCGGGAGAAGATGGGAGAATGAAACAGATTGACACCTGAGCACCATGGCAGATCTCCATGCCACAACCAGTTCTTTGCTCGCGCGCGTAGGCACCTTTCCCTTCCGCGCAGGTCGGAGATCTGGGTGCCACCAGTTTGGGTTTGATGCTCAAGAAGGCGCCCGGAATAGCAGTGTGTGGGGTGTGGGATCGCACCAAGTGCCGCTAGGATTTGGATTGGGATCGATAGCAAGAAACTTGAGAGACTACAAGTAGATCAAGTAGCACTTGAACCTTCCGTGGAGTCTAGCTAGATCTAGCTAGTATATACAATTTGGATTATATTACATTTTGGATTATGTTTCAATGAAAGAGGACGGATGCTCCTGCGATTGGCCCCTTTGGTTGTCGTGCAAGGCTGGCGAGTGCAGGCTTTTCGGCAAAGAATGGCGAACACAAATTTAGCAACCTCCACATGCAACGGATACATCCTCAAATATCCTTGAGACAATGAGGCAATGGCTGCGACCCACAACTGTACAGCTCCACTTGGGTGAGCCGTTGGAGAACCTGCCACCATGCCAAGCCTTACAAGATCGTTGGAGAACCCACTGTGGGTGGTAGGAGAGCACAGGCGTAAAGGCTGGACCAGAGAGATCCCCCACCCAATGGATAGACTGGTCTATATAATCTATATATGTCTATCTTATCCGAACCCTTCCAGGGTGTCGTTGCTTGGGAGGTCTCCCCTACGCACCGAGGCCGTGCGGTGTCGACTGCAGCTGCTGGGTTTGAACACCAACCTCATCGGTCCCTGGGCGAAACATGGCCGGTCCCGGGGTCGTGAAAGGTGCAGAGATGGTGAAGGGGAGACATGTTCAAGGGATGAAGGGGGACATGAGGAGCTGGTTCGAGACATGTAGACTCTGGATTGATAGATAAACCCCCCAATTTGAATTGAACATAAAACTTGTGAAATTAAGAGTCTTAGTGATTGAATATGGTGTGAGCAAAACCTAAATACTAGGGTCAAGGCAAGAAAAAAGTCAAAAACGGAGGGGTATGGCCATGCACGCCTGGAGGTTCTTGGGAATGGACAAACAATGCAGCTTCGAGGATCAGGGCTTGCCGCCTTCGAAGGTCAAGTGTGTTTCCCCAAATCGTATAGAAGTACAATCTATTCGCTGGCTTTGTTCAAATGAAATCCACGGATTTTGATTGCAGCAATGATAGGCAGAGTAAGCAAGTTTCGATCGTTATGCTTATTAATGCTTATCTACTTCTAGAATGATCTAGAGTACATTCTGATACATTCTGAGTATGTGAGGAAGAGACATGAAGATATGTAGGCAATGGTAAGGAAGGACCTGGTTCTCAACGAGCCAGCACACCTTGGAGAGGGACCACCCCTTTTGCCAAGATAGCAGAGTCATTCCAAGTCCCTGTTGTATCCCACCAATGAATAGAAGAAGACCTAATAGTAGCAATGGCCGCCAACCTGCTAGCGATGGCCTTCAACCTACTGGCGATGGCCTCCAACGTACTAGCGATGGCCTCCGGTCCAACCTGCTAGCGATGGCCTCCAACCTACTAGCAGAGTCATTCGGAGTCCCTGTTGCATCCCTCTTTCATATGTTGCGCGTTTGTTGCCTGGGATTTCCAAGGTGACGCAGGACCTGCTTGGGAGGGCGATTGGACAACTGCGCCATTGGTTTTCTTGGACCAAGTGGAACCCGCCCGGTTTATACATAATATATATTTGTTTTAATAGTTTATATATTTAATATATTTTTTGAGGGGGCACGTCAACTTGATTCCTGAAGATGCACCTCCTACGCCGTGTTTTTGCAGCGCCAAAGGGTTGAATTCTTCCTTTGGCAACTGGACTGTTCATGAATGGGAACGCTTCCCGCTAGTTCCAGGGAGCAGGCCTTATCATCCACTGCGTAGTATACCTCATAATTTTGATCATACTCCTCAGTGGTTTCCAAGTTGTCTCCGAACCAGAGAGTAGAGTGCCTTGTTCTTAACCATTGGGAGTTTTGGCATGTTGGCAGGTAAATCAAGAGGTGTATGTTGTGGAGATGTGGGTGGCTGTTCTGACATGATTTTGTTATGTTTTCAATGTTTCTTGTTTTCCGGTTTGGAGTATTCCAAGACCTCACTCATCACAGTTCTATTCTATCAATCCCTTCCCAACACGCAATGCTATGCAATGCTATACATACACACACTGTCACACTGTCACACCGCACAACCATTTCATCAACCCATCCATGACATGCCCTTCCCCCACTTCGCACCCATCCCCATCCTCCATCCGTCCTCCCACCGTCCAGCACTAGCCGCTCGGCTCGGACGGCAGGAGCCGAGGCCTTGGCCCAAGGCCTCGAGCAGAACGACACGCTCCGCGAGCTGGACGCGAGGGTCAACCGTGTCGAGCCGACGGGACGCGTGGACGCGATTGGACGCGTGGTCAGGTCCAGTGTGGGAGGCCGGCGTGGAAGGCTTTCTCGGACTCGGGACCCAGCATGGCAAAGGTGATAGGGATTCTTGTCTTGAAATCGCAAGATGTTTTACAATACCTTCCAGGTTCAAAACGTGGGAGTTCTCGAACTGCATGACGTTTCATCACTGGTCACTGAGTAGAAAATCTTCTGTAGAAACCTAGGTTCAGCAGCAGTGTAGTACCTCTCATACTCGCCACCTTCCGGGCCTTTTGGATGCTGCTTCGGACGCCAGGACCTCAGCCGGAACCGGCTGAAGATGCCAGGCGCGTTCAGACGGGAGTGCCGAAAACATGCATGCGGGAGCCGGGGATGTGACACCTGGTGGGGGATGCTGACTGGAGGCAGCGGCTGAGCAGTTCACCCCACCCTGGAGGCGACATGGAGCACCCGACCGAAATGGCGCCACCCAGCCATCCGTCGGACAGTCAAAGACAACACCCCTGGAGCCATCCTGGTCCTGCAGGAGATAGAGTGGACTGGTGGATGTGGTGGACTGGACTCAGACAGGTCAGTGTCCTGGACAGGTCAGGACTATCGATATATATATATATATATATCTGTGTGTGTGTGTAGACAGGTCTCACGTCAGAGTCTGGTTCCTGTTCTTTGTAGTCATCCCAGGCTCCAGTCATCAGGTCGAAGCGGTGGAAGCGGAAAAGCTTGCTGCCAGGTGTCAGCAAGCTGTGTGCCGCTTTGGAGCACAATGGCAGCTTAAGCTCCTTGCTCTTGGAGGGCAATGAAGAGGCCGAAATGGCGCGCGGAACCCGCGGAACCGTTTGGGACTTGAAGAAACGGTGGACTTCGGGGCAGTTCCGCTTGAACGGACGTGACCTGGTCATACACCTTTCGATGGTTCAGAATCGTTCCAGCGTGCTGGCTGACTTCTAGGAGCAATGCGGATCATTTAGTTGTGATTCCTTCTGCCGAAGCCTTTCCAAGCTTACTCCATTGAGCCTTCTATCTCACCTCTTTGTGGCGCTTTGTCAGCCTTCCGATGCCCAGCACTTGCGGGTGTCATGCAAACGTCGCAAAGAGAAAACCTAGCGGTATGTCATGTTGATGTTTTGACTTCAATCGCAAGTCACCGCAAGGACTCGACGTTTTGTCTTACATGATGCATCCTATTGATGATTGGCATGAACAAAAGTAATCCATAGGTACGTACACACGAAGACTTCTTGGAAGCCCAAAATGGCGCTGCCATGGGAGCCTTTGTCAGAGGAGGAGCTGAAATTCTGCTGGCAGTGTTTGGTGGATCAAGGACCGTCCGACCGTCACACCATGCCTACAGTAATCAGTCGAAGGGTGGCAGGCGCTCGTTGAGTGGTCGGAGCCAGTGTCGGAGCCAAACGGATCCTTTCTGAAACTTCTCCAAGGTCTTTTCCCAGCAAGGTCTCCTTGAAATAGAGAGACACCCGCAGAAGTTTCACAAGTCTAAAGGTGTCTCTCCAAGGTCTTCTCCTTGAAATGGGTGTGTATTTGAAATAGAAAGGCCAACGGGGGTGTTCTATTTCCCGAACCTTCCAGAGGGTCGTGGCCGCCCGAAATCATACGGTCCCGATCTGTCACGGCCTGTTTGTTTGCCGGGGAAGCCGGTATTCCCGGCATTGATAAAGCTTCAAGAGGGGTGGTGGTTTCAGATATGTTGATGTTCAAGCTTTACTTAGGGATGAAACCAGTTCACTTGTTGGTCTTTCAACTTTCACCTCACCGTGATGTACCGTATGCGCCCACAGACTAGGGGCTATGGCGGCTACGGCCAGCCAACCTGGCATCGAATGAAGACACCCTTCAGCATCTTGAGCGAGATTAAGTTAGAAGTTGGAACGCACGGACACTACATTAAATGATATTATATACAATTACATACGTAGATATTGAAACACTGTCAACAACAGTGGATACTTTCAACCCGCACTGTTAGGTAGGACTGGGTGCTGGGAGGCTTTTGCCGTATGACCAACCACCTTCGTTTCGGAAACAGCCCTCAGTCACCAAGAGCGAATCGGGTGCTCCGAAGCGAGCGTTTTAGGACAGCTAACGGCACCGAAGCTTCAAAAGTTCATGTTGGAAGTCACTGGCAACATGGACTTGAACTGGATGGAGGGAATGGAGGTTGTGAACATGTTCAAGTTGCCATCTCATGCTGGGATGGAGGGAATTGGAGGGACGAGAACGATCTGAAGACATGTCCTCGTCTTTGGTGCATTTTACTGTAGCCGAATTGGACGGGTTTGGTGCTGGTGATCCACCTTCCCCAATTACATACAGTTGTTTCAGAGTAGATGGCAAAGACCCCAAGATGTCCTTCCCTTTGATATATCCTCAGAATAGGAATTTGATGGTTTTTGATAGAATCATAATGAATAATACTTCAAGAACCCTAAAGTTTACACTTCTTACTCTGTTCCACCATGACACTTGCGGTCTACAGCGGATCGGATTGACACGTCCATTTTGCCTGGCAGGTACAGCGCGGTCAGATTTCCACACCCGTTAAACCGTTTAAGTTTATAATACTTATAGGGCTTTCAGGTGTGGAAATCTGACCGCAACTTAGGTGTCGACATGTTGCACGCAGGATTCTACAGGGAAAGGGTTTGTCCCGTTTTAGAAGTCAAGAAGCGCAACTTTTGGCACCCCAGTGTATATATATATTAATATATCATATTATATCCCTGCAAGCCCAGGAGTCCTGTAAAACGAGGTCATGTACAAACGAACAAGTTTACGAGTCGATCGGAAACACGCCCTTTCTTTCCACTCTCCATCAGCGTGGCCAAGCTTGCTCCATGTTGGTCCTGCAAACGGTGTCAAATGAGAGCAAAATCTCTATAAATCCGAGTCAGTGACCTGATGGATCATACCCAAGCAGTACTCGATGACATAAGGGACCAGGTTTTTCATGTTTTCGAGCCCACAGTGCACCAATGCCTTCGTGCTTACTAAGAAAGCCTCGGCAAGTGCAGTCCTCCAAATGCGCTTCTTTGCACATCTCAACCTGACCAAGCATGTGCAAAAAGAACACGTGCAAGCACGTCCAAACACGTGGAATTGGCCCTGCAAAACCAACAGACCAGGAGTGGTCCCTACAAAGCCCTCCAGGCACTGTAGAGCGAAAGTATATTGACTTTATATCGTTAACAGTGGCAAACTTCCTTCAACATCCCCCAACACCTGGCCTCGGCCTGGCTATCTTGCACAGACAGGTTTTCCATGTGACGGCCAGAGATGCTCGCCGACACCTTTTTCAGTGGCCCTATCATGTCCTCCTCCGAGAAGCAATGTGCAAAGCGGCTGTTGTATCCTTAGCCACATGCACCACAGAGCCAGCTGGAATCAGCTGGAGCCCTCAGGTGGAGCACCAAGACATCTCCACCAACAATGGAAACCCCACCAGGAAGTAAAGTAATATGAAAACACCAGGGTGGATCATCAAATCAAGGATCTGAACTTGCGGGTGCGCTCCAGCAAGTGCTTGAACATATGCATCTTTGGCTTTACAAACCAGCACTGCTATCCCATCCTGCCCCACAAAAACTGCCACAGGATGAACATAAATTTAAAACAACTTGCGCAAACAATTCTTCACAATCTCCAAAACAGTCAACTCTATTCTCCTGGAAGAGACTTTGAGGGGGTGGATGTGATATCGAAGGAACAGCATTCCAGCCGAATGGATTGCAGCGTGAGCAAAGGGTCGTCCGGCCAGCTTTGTCGTCCAGCTTGCACCTCACGTTGAAGCCATCTCCCCAATGGCCTGTCCTTCTTGCAATTGAGATTGCTGCACCATGCACCCATTCCCAAAGTACAGATCTAGACACTGGTGGTGAATCCATGCATTAATCAGATCTATATCAGTGCTGAAGCAGGTCACAGCAAGAACAACCCCGCAACACTCAAGAACAAGTGTCTCGAAAAAAGTCCAGTGTCGTTGCACGCAGGGAGTCATCATGCAGCCACTCCAGCAAAACCCGTGAGTTCCAGGATTTGGCCGTCAGATAGGACCCATGCCCATACTGGTCTACCTGAGCTCACAGGTCCAAGACTTCAGTAAAGGACCTGTGTGTTTGGGGCTACCTTTCACACCCTGGCAACATACAAAACTTAATCCAAAAAGCGCAAAATATACGACCACTATTTTGCAGTACAAAGACATCGCTTTTGATAGGTCAGCTATATGGTAAAGGGCCTGGTTGGGTCTTTGGCCTGCATCTCGTAACTGAGACACCATCGACTTTGAAACGCCATTGACTAGATCTGACTCCCATGCTTTTCCTCCAACATGTGAAGTCTGCAAACGCCTCATTCAACGCATCATTGGAGGGAAAAACAATTCTCAACAGGGTGCACAGCGATGCAGCATTCGTCGGAAAGCACAGCCCCAAGCTGATTGTGTGCATCGAGCAAATTTGGATCATACCAGGACAAAATCCTATGGTCAAGATCAGAGGAGATGGCGAGCACGAGATGGCGAGCAGCTGGTCAAATATAAGTCTCTGTAGACACCTCCGGGTTGTTTCCCTCCGTGTCCCAGAACGGCGAACTGTGACGTGAACAGTAGCGTGACACAAGAAGCACAATGCAGATGTACTTCCTGGGTGGGAGAATTTGCTTGAGTTGGTCATGATGAGTGCAGGTTTTACTGCAGGGTTTTTCAGGCATTGGACCCAGTAAACACCTGCATGCAACCTCGTTTGGTTGTTGGTAATGTTGGATCCTGATTAGTAAATAGCCCCCCCTAGCAAAACGATTGGAGGGGTCTCTACAAAAACTAGTACCAATACAATTCTAGATTCCTGGTGGACTTTCTTTTGCAATTCAATGTTGTATTCATTTTCCTTTCATAGATTGTATTCAGTAGTAGTTGTAGTAGTAGTTGTTGTAGCAGTAGCAGTAGTAGGAGTAGCAGCAGTAGTACCAGTTGCAGTTGCTGTAGTAGTAGTAGTAGTAGTAGTAGTAGTAGGAGGTAGTAGTAGTAGTAGTAGTAGCAGGAGTAGTAGTAGTAGTAGTAGTAGTAGTGGTAGTAGTAGTGGTGGTAGTAGTAGTGGTAGTAGTAGTGGTAGTAGTTGTGGTAGTAGTAGTGGCAGTAGTAGTAGTAATAGTAGTTGTAGTAGCAGCAGTAGTAGTGGTAGGAGTAGCAGTAGCAGTAGCAGTAGTAGTAGTAGTAGTAGCGGTAGTAGCAGTAGTAGCAGTAGTAGTAGTAGTAGTGGTAGGAGTTGGAGTAGCAGTAGTAGTTGTTGTAGTAGTAGTAGTAATAGTAGTTGTAGTAGTAGTAATAGTAGTTGTAGTTGTTGTAGTAGCAGCATGTGCAGCTGTGAGTTGGACGCAGCTCGCAGCTCAAGCTTCCTCAGTTTTTCTGCGAGGCATCCCTCAGCAAGCCAACCATTGGCTTAGCAGTATTAAGAATTACTATTATATGTTTCTTCAGGAAAAAACTTTGCACAATTGAGGACCCGTAAAACAAATTCATTATTGAGGATCACGGGCCTTCCTGGTCTACTATTTGTTTAGGAGCAATCTTTACATAAAGGATTGATTAGGGAATTGGTTTTGGGAAGCTGTCGGTTTTGGAGAAGAACTATGGAAACCTATACAAATCAATACGCTCAGAAAGCTAACCATTGGCTTAGTAGTAGAAGAACTAATATTTCTATTTTCCTAAAGGAAATAGACTTAAACCCTAAATATATTCTTGCAGCTCAGGCCAAGCGGCCAAGAAGCAGGCTTTCCTCAGTCAAGGACTAGGGTTGTAGTTAATTAACATCTTGTTGGTGGTCTGTTTGTTTGTGTTTTGCTTTGCTGCTGGCTGCTTGCCTGGGAAGGGAGGGGGGAGTGCAAGTGGACAGGGTTCAACGAATTCAAACCCTTATCAAGGTCCAAAATGCAAAAATTAGAGCCCCCCAAAAAAGTTAGCATTATTCAGACCCAATTTTTCAATAGGGGTGGCTGGAATAATTTTGGAAATTGTCGCATTATTGAGGACCCATTTACTAATCAGCATCCAACATTAACTACCAGTCGAACCACCACCCTAGACTTTGATCCCTCAGCCCTATAACCGGACCCGATCGATGGTTCTGGTGGGAGATGGGGTGGGAGTCGATCGAAACCCTGACCGATCGATGGTTCTGGGTGGGAGTCGAAGCCACCATCCTGGATTTTGATCGCTCAGCCCTATAACTTACTTCTTTTTAAAACCTCACCTCATCTGGCATGCGAACTCAGGTTTTACTTTGACGGCTAAACAGATCATTTGATCTAGATCATTTCGAAATACTACTCCAGGCATGGGGTAGTTCGACAGTGTTCGACAGATTGGGACATGCCGTGGTTGATAGCTGGCCCGATCAATGTTATATGAACTTCGCCCCAACGCCCATGGCCAAATTGATGAGCAAAGATCATGATTGCAATGCACCCTTTCCACACACACACACACACCCTCTATGGTGTCCCATCGACAGTCGCCGTCGATCGTCGCCGTCTATCGCAGTGGTTTCAGAGGTTCGAGGTGCGTTTGTGGGCCTCGTTTTGGTCGGGGGAGTGGGTGGAACCAATCTAAAAGACACTTTAGCACTACCCGTGCCATCTGCTTCTTGAAGCCACAGTACAAGAGAAACCTCTCGATGACTTGACTTGCCTGGCAGTTCGGGGTTCTTAGGATGTAACTGTTTGGTGTGTTTGCACAGCCGCTCTGTAGCTGTGCCATGTATGGAAGGACAGGTGGCCGATCAGAATCAGGTTCGGTGAAAGTGTATCGAAAAACATTTTGCTGACACGCTGGTCTTCATGGATCATTCGAGAAGGCCATATACATGTCACAGGATCATGCCACTATATGACGTCAATGCCTCAAACACCATGATCACTATGGGCGTGGTATTTAAAGGCTTACGCCTGACAGCCGGGCACCGGCCCAACACAGGGAGAAAGTAAGACGGTAGAGGGGATAGAGGCAAGAGACATGAGGCGACGGGGGCCAGGACTTCGGGCAAGCATCCAGGGGCTTATACTTACCGCCCGGGTGTGTGTAAGATACACCGAAGGTCGGGAGAGCCGTCTCTGTCTCTCTTGTTT